TGACTGGAAAACTTTTAGGACGTTGCTAAGGACGTTGCTAAGAAAAGCCTTGCTGTTGCTGTTCACCTTCACCATCACAGAAACAAGCTCTTTCTTTGATTCAAACCCCCGCAAATGAGCTTTCTCTCCGCTGATGCAGCAGCTCTAAGCTCAGCATTTGAGAGCCCACCCCTGTGATGGTGAAAGTGAACAGTAACAGCTAGAGGTCTCTTAGGAACTTCCTAGGAGTTGGCAAGTCAGGCTTTATAGGATGTGTAAATGGCCTATACCTATAGCAAGGGGATTATTAAACGTTAGTTAAAGCTGCACAGTTTGTTTGCAAATGCCGCGTGCTCTACCTTTTTTTCTGGAACTGGAACGCACTAGAACGGACCACACTGGTGTGAACTATGCCAAGACAAAACATATAACCTACTAGCCATATGTTTATGATGGAGAAAAAAAAAACGCACTGGACTGCATCTGGTGTGAACTGGCCCTAAGGTGCTTTCACACTGATACATTTTTCCTGTATTTTTACCCTGTAATACCTAAGGGACTCTTCGCACCACTGCACTGCGGGTACAGTACGTTTTCAAAAGTCCTGTATGCTGCATTTTCCAAACTGCACCAAAAACTCAGCTCCCTATTGAAATTAATGGAAAACACAGCAAAAGTGCATAAAAAATGCACCAAAAATATACTACATTTGTGTTTTTGGTGTCTTTTTTTGAGCCACATGACCATTTTTCACAGGTGCGGCAAAATGCATCTAAAATGCATATGTGCTTTTACCGCGTTTTTGCTGCAAAGCAGTGGGAAAGCAGTCTAAAACTGTATTTATGTTTCCATGTTGTAGTAACTTGTGTCCAGGGGCGGACTGACAACTCATGGGGCCCCCGGGCAATAGGGGATCATGCGGCCCCTGTTTCCTTGCCCAAACTCAGAAAAAACTATGAAAAAGGTATCAGGGGCATCTCATGGGACCCCCTACTGACCCTGGGCCCTCGGGCAGTGCCCGAGTTTCCAAACGGTCAGTCCGCCCTTGCTTGTGTGTTACTGCAATGTGCTGTAACATACATTTCTGCATTGCGCACTGTGCACTTTCATTGAACTGTGTTGACTCGTGTTGGGAAAAAGGGTCTTTAGGGATTTTAAGCATTTTAGGTTGCATTGGCTGCCCATTCATTTCAAATGGTCTGCCATAACGTAACACGTTAACATGTGACATAATGCGTGATAACCAAAGCACCACAAAGTGCCCTTTTGCTCCATACACACTATCGTTTTTTTAACCTCCTTTAGCTCAGGTTCACACTGATGTGATGTGGAATTCGCACTGGTCTCTGCGGTTTCCGCACTGCATCATGTTCTCACCCCGTTAATGCGAACCACTGCAGGTGTGTATGTTAAGTTTATGACACCCCAAAATTGGTTCGCAAAACACGTTGTGATGTGCAGAATTGGATCACATGGGTGTGAATACCTGTGCGATCCGATTCTGGTGCAGACAAAAAAGGGTCCTTCACTATTTTGGTGCAGATGCGGTGCAATCTGAGCCATGCAAAATGTATGGCTCAATTGCACCACACAGAAATCGCATCTGATTTGCACAGGAATGCAGTGAGGTTCCTGGGCAGCACAGTAAATGGTTAGCAGTTCAGCCTGGCAGTACTAGGGTCATTGGTTCGAATCCCAGCCACAGCACCACCTGCCTGGAGTTTGCATGTTCTCCCTGTGCCTGCGTGGGTTTCCTGTTTACTCTGGTTTCCTCCCACAGTCCAAAGTCATGCTGGTAGGTTAATTGGCTCCTGTCTAAATTGGCCATAGTATGTGTATGTATGAATGTAAGTTAGATACTTTAGATTGCACACCCCTTGAGGGTTAGGGATGATGTGAATGTACAATATATATATATGTAAAGCACTGCATAAATTGACAGAGCTATACAGGGGCAGACTGACAACTCATGGGGCCCCCGGGCAATAGGAGATCATGGGGCCCCTGGGTCTTTGCCCAAACTCAAAAAAGCCTATGAAAAAAGGTACCAGGGGCATCTCATGGGGCCCCCTACTGACCCCAGGCCCTCGGGCAGTGCCCGAGTTTCCAAATGGTCAGTCCGCCCCTGGTGCTATATAAGTACCTCAATGAAATAGAAAAAAATCAAACCTGCACTTGGATTAATACACAACATTTAAAAAAATTTATTTAAATTAAAATAAAAAAGCTGCTCGCATAAAAGGCAATATACAAATAATAAACAGTGAAAAATGCAGCGCTAATCTATATCATAATAGATAATCATAAAGTTCAAATATTAAAAAAAAGTTTGAATATATTGCACAAAGAGGATTTCGGCATGATCTACCATCACCGAAGCACCTGAATGAATAAGCCCCTTACCGGACGTTCTGACCGAAACACACCGGTCAATAAACACAGCCCAAAAGAAGGATCCTGGGAAGGATTGCCAGCTTCATCATCTGCACCACTGATCCCTCTTTTGGGCTGCGGTTTTTTTTTTCGGTCAGAACGTCCGGTAAGGCGCTTATTCATTCGTGCGCCTTGGTGATGGTGGATCGTGCCGAACTCCTCTTTGTGCAATATATCCAAACTTTTTTTGAACATTTGTACTTTATGATTATCTATTACGATATAGATTAGCGCTGCATTTTTCACTGTTTATTATTTATATAAGTACCTGAAATAAATAAATAAATCACATGCGATGTGCAGCACTGCATCAGTGTGAACCCGGGCTTCAGCTCCTAGAAGCTGTTATCAGCATTTCTTTTTTCTGAAGCTAAATGGTGTTATCCTATGTGCACACTATTCACGGCTAGTAGCGTTTTTCATGCTTCAGCATTTAAGAGCAGAAAAACAAATGTTTTTGTAGTTTTTGGGAGCATTTTTCCAGCAAAAAAAAAAAATGCTGAATGCTCCTAAATGCTCCCAAATACTCCTAAACTGCTAAACTGAAACGCTCCTATACACTTCTAACTGCTAATAAAAAAACTATTAAAATGCTACTAAAAACTGCTATTACCAGTGCTTTTTATCCAGTGCAGGGGCGGACTGACCATTTGGAAACTCGGGCACTGCCTGGGGGCTGTAGGGGGCTCCATGAGATGCCCCTGGTACCTTTTTCATAGGCTTTTTTCCTTGGGCAAGGACACAGGGGCCCCATGATCCCCTATTGCCTGGGGGCCCCATGAGTTGTCAGTCCACCCCTGATCCAGTGTTTTTTTAACTTAAAAAAAAAAAAAGCGAATCTGCATGGAGCCTTAAAGTGTACGCTTTTTACAGGAACCTTATATAAATACCAGTCGCTTTAAGACTGAGATGCAGACGTCCTTTATGTTTGATGACTATACTGATATACTGTAAGTATTATACTTTGTAGCACGTTTTTTCAAGTTACATTTTAGATTTTTGTAAAAATGACAACATTTTTCCTAGTCCTAGAAGTAAAATAGAGAATAGAATAGAGAAAGAAAACACAGCAAGGGAGAGACAAAGAGAAAGGAGATCAGTGTGTGTAACTTCCAGGGTTCACATCTGGATACAAATTGCATTTAAACAGTTCCACATTCCGTAAAATCTCTCTTCACAGAAAGTTCTTAAACGCAAAAACAGCCCAGCTTTAATTATCCATAGAGAGTGCTGAGATCGAGCCTTCTTTTTAATCTCCGCAGGAATAGGAATATACTTCTAGATCCAAAATTCGCATCAACGGTTTAAAAATAGACATTTTCCATAAACAGGGAGATTAAAGATGAATATTTTTCTTTTCTTTTTTTCAATAAAAGCATTTAAAAAATCAAAATCTGTTCAACATGGTTAGGACATTAACCATCTAATTGTTTAATGATTACAGATAATGTCTTCCAAATGGACCGTCCTTGGGTGGCGATTTGAGAAATGACTTGAATAGATCCTTCAAAACATTCCGGTGTTGCTAATGGATCAGTCCACCCAAATCTGAAAATGAAGTCTTTGGTGGATGGAGGAGAATGAAGACACCTTATCTCTGATGGTGAGATTGTTGTGCTGAGTTTCCAGAGAGGGACATTTGATGATGGAGGCTCATATGATGATGAGGTGGTATAGAGGAGCAATTAACAGAGGAGAAAAGGTGAGAGTAGCCAGTACACACAAGCTCCATAAACCCCTCAAGTCTCAGTTTCCCCCCATCATTACCATCCAGTGTGGCCCCCACACTGACCTCATCCTTGATTTTGCCCCCCCCCCCCAGCAGTTGGTATCAGATCAGGTTGAATGCTGAGCTTCCAGATCTGCCCATTATGAGGGTCTCCTAGGCTACTTGCTGGAATTTTATATGATGGAGAATGCAACAGGAGTAGCTGGCACATGCAAAGTCAGGCAGGAGTACTGGCGTGTCTTTAATGTGTGTGATGCATGCTGTGTACATGGGCCTCAAAGCTCAGGAACTCATTGTGAATTTATTGCATACATTGGGTATTTGATTCAGGAAACACTCCTCTGTTATCCATTAAAGTGGAAGTAAACTGCACCAAATAAGAAAAAAAAAAAAAAAATGCCCCCCCCCCCAGGTTTTTCTCAATTATGACAGACGTACCTGAAAGCAAAGCCCTCCAGCGGCGTGCTGTCACAGCGTTTCCATCTTCACCTGGTCTTCCTTCCAGGTTTGCAGGATTCAGCTGTATGAATGGCTGAGCTGTGATGACATCACTCTCATGCATGCACGCGGGTGTCACGGCCGCGGCACAGAGCTCTGAGGAAAAAAATACTAGACGTGCAGTTCATTTTGTTCCAAATTGAAATTTGAATTTTCTGTTATTCGGAGATTTAGATGTATCCAAATTCTGAATGACAATAGTAACGAATTTAAAGAATCTGAAATAACGAAGCGAAATTCGGCCGAAATTCAAGTTGATTCAAATTCAAAAACAAATGCAAATTCGAAAAAACTAATTTGAAAACCAATTTGAATGTGAAAATAAGAATAGAAAATAAAAAAGAACAGAAAATAAAGAAATAGAAAAGAATAGAATAAAACCAGGGGCGGACTGACCATTCGAGCACTCGGGCACTGCCTGAGGGCCCAGGGCCAGTAGGGGGCCCCATAAAATGTCCCTAGTACCTTTTATAGGCTTTATTGAGTGTGCTTTGAGTGTGGGCAAGGACACAGGGGCCCCATGATCCCCAATTGCCCGGGGGCCCCATGAGTTGTCAGTCCACCCCTGAATAGAACAGAAAACAAAATAATAGATTAGAAAAGAATAGAGGAAAAAAGAACAGAATAGAAAATAAAGGAGTAGAACAGAATACAGTAGAAAATAATAGAGTAAAACAGAATAAAACAGAATAGAAAAAAAAAAAATGAATAGAAAAGAATAGAATCCATAACAAAGGAATAGAAAAGATTAGAATCGAAAATCAAAGAATAGAATAAATAGAATAGAATAGAAAATCAAAGAATAGATTAGAAAATAATAGAGTGAAACAGAGCAAAATAGAACAGAAAATAAAGGAACAGAATAGAATCAATTAGAATAGAAATAGAAAATCAAAGAACAGAATAGAAAAGATTAGAATAGAGAATCAAAGAATAGAATAGAATAAAATAGAAAGAATATAACTGCCCTCCAAAATTCAAATTTTGAATAGAATTAATTTGAACAGATTACATTAGAAAAGAAAAAAAAAATAGAAAAGAATACAATAGGTTAGAAAAGACTTAAATACTTTACAAAAAATTCTGAGCTGCGCTATGGTGACGTGAGTAGTGATCAACAAAGGCACTGTGAAAATTTTGCTGAAACAGAAATTTCCAATATGGCCACACAACTCTTCATATAGGCCATATACCATCAAAAACACAAATGAATTGTGGATTATAGTTTGTAACATTAGAATTATTATCAAATCCATTTTTCTTGTTTTCAAATCCGTTAAAATTAATTTCAGATTTGTTTGAAATTTTGAATTTGGAATTGAAACTAATGAAACTAATTCTGAAAAATTAATTAAACTAATTTAACTAATTGAACAAAACAAAATAAAACGAAATAGTCAAATAACGAATTGAAACAAAACAAATTTTTTTCATTTTGCACATGTCTGAAAGGCATGGGTATGCTGTTCCTTCAGAGCGCATGCGCCCGGTGATGTACTCAGCTGCTGCACGTTTAGGAGACATTTCCTGTACCTATAGGTAAGCCTTATTATTGGTTGGTGTGATGTTAACTCCTCATCTCTCCACCTCGTCCAGAGAACACTTTACATTCATTCAGAAAATGCCAAGCGGACAACCTCCTGTACTCAGGCCGTGGATAAGGGGCTACCACCAGTTCTCCTGTACAGGGCCCAGGTAGTTAGGTGAATCGAATGTGGTTAGGAAGGGTGAGCAGGGCAATTACTGGAACTGATCTCCTGTCTGGCTTTCTCTGCAGCAGCTGAAAGCTGGGTTCTTCTCCTTTCCCCTCCCGGCTGGCTTTCAGTTGCTGCAGAGAGAAACATACAGGGGTTCGGTTCCAGTAATTTACCAGCCTCTTCCATTCCAGAATGTACACAATAGTGATCAGTATTGATCACTCACTGTGTTCATTCATAAATGAAGCATAGTAAACTGCATTTTTCTTGTGGGATGGGGGGCTCTGTTAGGTTGGCTGTATGGGGCCCTGTGGTTTGGGGGGCCCTGTCAGGTTGGCTGTAAGGGGGCCTTGTGGTTTGAGGGACCCTGTCAGGTTGGCTGTAAGGGGCCCCGTGTTTTTTAACAGCAGCCCTGCCCGTGCTCACAATACAACAGGGCAGCTGCTCAGCACAGGAGATCACTGGAGTAGCGGTGTATACTTCAGTGATTTCCAGCTTTTGAGGGTAAGTGTATAAAAATAACAAACATGTCTATATTTACCTATTGTGTGCAGGGGTTTTGCACAGAGCAGCCTGGATCCTTCTCATCTCGTGTCCCCCGCACCAAGCAGCTTGCTATGGGGGCACCCACTGCTCCGTGTGTCCATTCACACATGGAGCCGCTGCTTGGCCCCCTCTTCATTGGCAGACTGGCTGTGATTGACAGCAGGGGGAGCCAATGGCTCCCGCTTGCTGCCTCAGCCAATGAGGAGGCAGAGACCCAGGACAGCCGAGGCTGTCGTGCACATCGCTGGATCTCAATGAGGCTCAGGTAAGTATTGAAGGGGCTGGGGGCACTGCTGCACACAGAGGTTTTTGAACCTTCATACATAGAGTACATGAAGACAAACAATCTTGAGCCTTTACAACCACTTGAAGGGTGCTGGATTTTTTTTCCAGCCAAAGTTATAAACTAAAATTTCTTTTTAATACTCTTTGCTGCTTTACTCTGCCCAGTTGTCCTAACACTCTGATCTCAGTTTAGAAACCAAGCAGCCTAAAACCACAATGCATGTCAAGGTGTTTTTTTTTTCTTTTCATAACTTCATTTATCATTAATCACACTTTTCTGAGCTTGCCGGATCCACACCTGCAGGACTGGAGGGCTTGAGAACGAGTTATGCAATGTGCTGGATTTTGACAGCAAGCCTACAATACACACGTGTGGTTTTCCCCTCCTTCTACATTATGGAGGCCCCTCACAAGGGTGTCAGTGTTGCAGAAGAGTGTTTGCAAAACAAATCTACTTTATTTTTGATGGTGGAATTTTGGAAATGCAAGCTGCAAAGGCTGTGTTTGTTGTCCTTTTGTTCACCGTCTTTTGTGTTTGATTGTTGTTTTTTCTATGCAGCAAATTTGAAGCGTCTTACTTTTGTATAGGGTTCAATGCTGTTTAAGAATGGTATTAGCGATAAAGAACACCTGGGTATATTGAGATTATCCAAACTGTGGTAGTTTCATATATTGGGCTACATAGGCAATTCAATCTGTTTGATACTCAGCAGGTTTAGCAGGGACCAACAAGATTCGAACCATGTATGGCAGGCTGAATGTACCCACGTTGATAGATCGATTAACTTGGGTAAAAACAGCCTGTTGGATTTTACATACAATTATTGCTAGCAACTATTTTAACTGCTAGCAGTAATCACTCCTGGCTGCGATGGCCAGGGGCGGACTGACAACTCATGGGGCCCCCGGGCAATAGGGGATCATGGGGCCCCTGTGTCCTTGCCCAAACTCAAAAAAGCCTATGAAAAAGGTACCAGGGCATCTCATGGGGCACCCTACTGACCCTGGGCCCTTGGGCAGTGCCCGAGTTTCCAAATGGTCAGTCCGCTCCTGGCGATGGCTCCCACTGCCCACCCTGAAGAACACAATGGTTCTGTGGGAGGGATTCCCCCATCAACACTGAATGTGTTTGTGGGGAAATCAAGGAATTTTCTTTCCTGCAACCACGGGTCGCTCCATCTGTGTCCAGCTTTAGAGTTTAAAATTGACCTGATCTCAAAAAGTTTTGCTATAACACAGGGAACATCTCAAATTGTTAGTTGTGTTGTACCTTGAAATATATACTGTACCTTAGTTCTTGAATTTCTTATAAAAACTAGCAGTGCATTTGCTTTTCCTATGCACATCTCTGCCTTGAGCCTCATAACTGTATATCTGCAGCGTTAGATCAAAGGCACTGCTGCCTCTGATTGCTAGTCTCACAAGAATTGGAATGAGATTTGGTGCAGTCACTACTGTGCTGATCGCTGTTCTCATTGTTGTAGAGGAAGCTGTAACTGAGGACCTGCAATCGAAGAATCTCCCTGCTTCTGATTCATTCATTACAAGGATTTTTGTTTCCTCCACCTCTTATGCTGCTTCCTTATCTTTACTCTACCAGTATTAAGATTACCAGTTCTCATGGGGGCAGCTTTGACATGAGGAAGCAAAACCCTGCCCCTACAAAGATGGCCCCTCCACAGTACACTACAATGCAGTACAGATTAAAGCATGAGGAATAGGTCAGCTGCAAGGAGACCACAGGCAATACTGGTGACTAGTCCTTTAACATCTGCTTCCCCTTTTTTGGGCACAACTTCCACAGTTCAGGTCTTGTTAGCTATCATTTCATGGGCACCGGAATGTGCAGCCAACTACTGGATAAATCTTTTAGCAGTAAATATAAGAATCAACTGTGTAGCCTTAGCCTAAGGCTTTATAGGATTTCAAGGTATATTGATTTCACCATTGGTCCCTCTAAAGCCTATTGGCTTCCCCCATTTAAGTTCTTTTGTAACTTCTAAATGCCTTAAAGTTGGAGCTCAGGCATGCCCCCTAGTCCAACAATGCAGTGTTTGGCCCAAGTATTACTATCTGGAAAGTGAACATGCTCTGAGCCTTTACAGATGACCTTGAATTAAAAGTGAAAGTACCTCTCATCCTCCCCCTCTCCTCTAACTAATTTGGTGTTTTTTCTGATAGCTGGTACCTCTATAATGTGACAGATATCTGCAGGGCTGCTGTTAGAAATCATGGGGCCCATCATTATTACAGAAACAACATAACATAACTTGCTGATCTAAAAAATAAAGCTGTATTAGGTTAATAAATAAAACCGCTGCATCCTCATAGAGTAAAATGCGGCTTCAGCTGCACAAAGAACCAGCTCAATCACACTGCATGGGCCAGAGGACCTATGTGAATGAACCCTTAGTTATTTTTTACAATTTAAAAAAAATATTTTTTTACAATGTTTTAAAATTATGATTTTTACTATTTAAAAAAATTACAGCTTTTAAATTTTTTTTTTACATTTTTTAAAAAAAATATTTTTACATTTTTTTTTACAATGCTGTTGGGGAAGGGGGCATAGGTGAGATATCAGGGGTCTAAACATAAACTGTTTATTCATAAACTGAAGCATAATAAACTGATTCATAAACTGAAGCATAGTAAACATAGTTTACTATAGACCTCCCTGGCACAGGACATCCCTGGCACCCACTCATTCTCCCTAGGTCCCCTTATTTATTTTATTTATTTCAGGTACTTATATAGCACCATCATTTTATGCAGCACTTTACATATATATATTGTACATTTTCATCAGTCCCTAACCCTCAAGGAGCGCACAATCTAAGGTACCCTTCAGCCCAGGGGCGGACTGACCATTTGAGCACTCGGGCACTGCCTGAGGGCCCAGGGTCAGTAGGGGGCACCATGAAATGCCCCTGGTAGCTTTTATAGGCTTCTTTGGGTGTGCTTTGAGTGTGGGCAAGGACATAAGGGCCCCATGATCCTCTATTTCCCGGGGGCCCCATGAGTTGTCAGTCCGTTC